AGAGTCACCAACAATACACGAAGAGACAGAGTCACAAACGTCAGCATTAGAGACAAAGTTGGAACATGAGCATGCATCGAACATATTGAAAGACAGAGAATGAAGTGATTTGGTCATTTAATAAGAATGCAACCGGATCAGATTGCTTATAAGGCCTTTTACAGTAGAACATCAGGAAGAAAGGCCAGAGGAAGACCCAGGAAAAAATGGATAGATGGAGTAGCTGAATACAGCCAGAAGATCCAGAAAACTGTCACTCAAATCACACGAGAGGCACAAAACAAATATTTTAAACCACGACACTGGGCTGCAACCCTGTAAAAGTGAAGAAGACAATAGATAGATAGATAGATAGATGGATACCATATAATAATTGTTGTTATATATAATTCTCTATTACATGGAATTTATTTCCATTGTGAGTGGCCCAATTTTTTTTAATAATTATTTTTCACCCTTCCCAACTTCTTAATTCTGCTGATTAAGATTTAGCACATGTATTCATTCAAAGTTAAACTGGAGTTAGGGTCGAATATTTTATGTTGATAATATGACAAATGGGAAACCCATTGTCATCTATGACTGTGTTATGACATTTGTAACGAAACGACCTCAGTGTTGTCAGAAGTTAGTATGTGTAATAATTTCTTCTTTTTATAGAGAGACAGATAATTATATTTACTATGCCCTAAGCCCGAATATTACTAAAACCGCATGGGATTTAAAACTGTTTCCAGTTCTTAGTCCAGACAAAGCCACCAAGCTTTGGTTAATATTACCTAACCTTAACTAATATAGCCAGCTGGTCTACTTGGGAAAGTTCAGACATAGTGGCTGTAGGGTTTGTATGTAGAACTGAAGTCTCATATAATTATTGCACGACCAGAGGCCCTTGGGGGAAGGCACTCATAAAACTGGTCATAAAACTAATTATCCCCCGGAGGTTATCTTCCTTGAAATGCAGACCAAACACTAGTGTCAAAATGGTTACATCGTCGGCCCTTTCAACAGAAAAGATAAGGGAGAATTAACTTGGTCAAGTAGGAAACACAATGGCTTCCCTGATCGTCTTTTCACATCTGTCAGTGACACGGTCTGGGACTAGATGTTTACCACTTAAGAATGTTTGATCAGAGGGGTGTCAGTAAGAATTGACTGACAGGCACAATGATAGCTAATTTGATCTTCAAGGTACTTCAGGGGTGTGGCTTAGATCTTCTCCGGTAGGACAGTTTAAATACTAGAAAGATGAGGACTTTAATTTGGACAATAGATAGGTACTTATACTGCTAGCATCTTAAATTTACCTCATAGTGCTGCCAGCAAGCCACAAACTCAGATCAACAGTAGAAAGTAATTTTAGCTGTTGGAGTCTTGTTTGGCAATTGCTGGAATGTTCCCAGCTCCCGTCAGGGTGAAGACCAGTCGGCTCTGATAGCAGAACCAGAGGGTCAAGTGCACAAACCTACACTGTGTGGGAGATCCGCAAGCTGGGAACAGGTAGAGAAGGAGGTGGAACAGCTGGGAAGAAGCTGGAAGTGGTGGAAAAGCTTAACAGTGCCTCATGGCTGTCAGAAGATTTATCTTGCCTTATCACTAAGTTACGTCCACATCTTGTTCGTAAACTCATCATCATCATAACTTCTCTAATACCAGGTGCTCAGTTATCTAGCTGAAGCATCTCATCACTATCATATCATCAGCCTGTCACTGTTTGTGTAAACACTGCAAACTGACGAATGTCATTCACATGATTGTTAGTAAATAAAGCTGTATGTCAAGTTTTATTCTACATCATTTGTTAAATTCCAAGTGTATTTAGTCTTACTTGTTTAACTCAAGTGTTAGATAGAATTACCTTTGGTGGGGAGGGGGATTGGGGCTCTTTAAAATTTCTTTACCAGGAGGAGGTTGCCGGGAGAGGTCACCTGCCCTGTCTAACTACTTATTACTTAATGTAATATAGACATCTAAAACCCCTTTCCTTCTCTTGTGGGTAGCAAAGGCAGCTGTTGTGTATATACATGACGAGCCAAATATGGCTTTTTTCTTGAATATCCAGGACTTTGTCTGAGATCAACATAGCTCGGATAATAGTCCAGTTTCTCTGGTGGAGGTGAAGTGTTGAGAAGAAAATTCCAACTCATCACAAAAGCATCTATCCACTTCAGGACATCTATTCCAGCACCCAGTTATGCTGACTATTTATAAGTCCCATTTATTTTCAATCTGCGCAACATACCTTTGATGAGTTTCATGCCCATGTAAATTTACTCCCTGATTCTCATCCTTTGAGATGTAAACCCATGTGGTTGAAATAAGAATATACTGTGAAAGATGACTGTGTGTTTAAGCATGTTAACCCCTTATAGAAGTAATAATGTATATACTCTGTTATGTTAAAACTATTCTATACCCCCCCCCCCCCCCTCCTCAAGAATGTGAACACATGTTACTACCCTACTCCATATGTGTGTGTAGTGTAACAGTACATGAGAACTGCAGGCATTGTGACTTTCAGTAAGAACATTCCCAACTGCTTGTACAGGGACTGTTCAATTGTTCTAGTTCCGGGTGAAAGTTCCAGAAGTGTGTTCCAACATAGCTGCAGGTGCTCGACTGTCTAGACTGGACTAGAAGACTCAACCTGCCTGAAGTGTCTCCGAAGCTGAGCAAGAACTGACCCAAGGAGCACAAACAAAAGATGAGTGGATATCAGTCCACTATGTCAATCTGTAATCCATCAATTAGTGTATGTTTTTTCCATAGTCCAAGGATTAGATTTACTTGAAACTAATTACATGATTGTGTTAATGTTATTCCAGTTTTGCGGAGTTTATTTTAACAGTGTATATCAGTGAGCAAGAGTTAGTATATTCAAATATACATAAATATACCATTTTTATAACAGTAGGGAATCAGATGTGGGCAAACCCTGAATCCTCTCCTTTAACTAACAAGCCTGGGAGATAAATAATCTTTTAGGATGTTTCACTGTTTGCAATTCCCTCTGTATAATGTCTGTGTGTGAGGTCTTGTACCTAACAGAAGAAGAATTATGTTCTAGTATCTTCGGTAGACTGCATATAGCACATTCCAATAACAAAGCGAATTAACACACCACAAGCATTTCACAACATGTCTCAACAAAGCACAATGCATATCAGACATGCAACTCAAACCAACAATGTGAATTGCATCCAAGTGCATTTTTTAAATGTATTTATAATATGCCAAAGCAAACATGTGAATTTTGATTTGAACAGGTGAAACAAAGTACTGCTTTTCATGCTTCTCTCCTATTTCAATGCTTTGGGTGTCAAGGGAGATACAAGGTTCTGGTTCTTGTTCTTCTGGCTGCCTCAACCACAGACACATCTTGCTGCTGTAGAGTTTCTCTGATGTTATCTTTCCAAATTTTTCTTGGTCTAACTTGTGCTCTGTGTGCTTCTCCTCTTTTGGTGTATGCATGGCGTCACAGTGCATTCTCTCTAAGCAAGCAAAGAATTTTATTTGCTGTCTTTGAATGTAGTTTAGAACTTGTTCTGTGCTGAATTTTTCTTTTATGATGTCATTCTTGGTTGTATCACTCCTGCAGCTGATTTCCATAGTTACTAATTTTCTTTTCTGATTTATTGTGAGAGACCATATCTGGCACTGGTAGCACAGAGTGGAAATAAATATGCTTTGTATGAGATGTCTCTTTGTGCTAGGAGTCCTGTTGGTCATCGGAGTCCTTCGACTGGCTGATGTGAGGTGTGCACATGCTGAGAACTAGTGTTTTTGAGTCTATTTCCAGCCGATGTGTCTGCTCAGTGTAGAGCAGAGGTCCACTTGATAGGAGAGATTTCCTGATCATCTGTACAGCGAGCCCAGAGATGCAGGATGCTGTATACCTACGAACTGTAGCGGTCAGCTCGTATGTAGTGGCAGCGAGCGAGTGCAGGCTGTCTGGGAGAGGGACATTATACTTGAGGAGCGAGCGAAAGCAGGGGCTAGGTTTACATGTTAGCCAGGACAGATGTCCACATCACTATGCTTGAAATGTATGTGTGAGGGATTGTGACTACCCTCTGTGTCGTGACAAAAAATGTTTATAAATGGCGGACATTATGTCGCTGAGTTTTCCTGAAAGTTGTATATGTGGAAGCGAAAACCGTATTCTTGGACACTTGACCGTTGCTGATTGTTGTTACACCCAGGATAGCACACAAAACCTTATTCACTTCTACAATCACTGACAATTTACAAACCACACATCAGAAATGCCTTGGCATGTGCATCTCATCATCTTTTTTATTAAAACAATGTGGCAAAACATCATCCTGTCCAACAACTGTTTTCATTAAAATATGTAGGATTGGAAAGTTAATTTCACCCATTTGCAAATCAAATTCACTTTTCATTCTGAATTCTGTGCAATACATTTTTTTTTTGTCTGATCCATCAGATAATGAACATATATAAGCTGCTATAAATAATGATGGTGCAACTATTACTCCTACTGATTTTTATAATTATTAAAACTGCAAGAAAATCATTACAACTATAATTAAATAAATACTTATAATGTTAAAAAGTATTTTATGTTTAATAACACACACATGAAATGTTCAATTTTTTAAATAATTTGAATTGCATATTATTTCATTTAATTAGATCCAGACAATATTGAATGAAAATAAACATGATCTACAAAATGTCATCTATAAAATGACAAATCTGATTCACAAAAGAAACTGTTTAGATTCAAAAAAGAATAAATCTGGCTTGCCAATCTGTAATACCCAGATGAATGATAGTACCTTGTAAAGTTTCTTGGAAAAGATATACTTCAAACAAAGATAAATTAGGTTGCTGCAAAAACATACTTGGACTCTCATTCCTACTCTGGAGTGTATGTACTGCACTGAGTTCTCCTGGTAAGGAAACCATAAGGGAAAAAAGAGAATAAAAATGGAAAGACTAGTTGACAGCTAAGAACACATAAAACCACTTACCGGGAGCTCTTTCTTTCTGACAGCATGCCTTCATGGTGAACTTCTAATCCTGAGTATCCTGGAAAGTAAAAAGAATATGATAAAAAAATATTTTAAAAAACATGCCACAGTAAAGCAAGATACTACATTACAAGATGGTCTAATATAAAAGAAATTAATTAATTTGACAGAATGAAAAGGGTACCAATCAGCGCGTGATCCGTTCAGGATTTTAAATTTACAACTGGCCAGTATAACAAACCAGGCGGCAATTTTGAATGGTATTTCCCTTTCTTTGTGTTTGTTGTTACACATGGTGTCCACTGGGTATATTATAAAAAATGTGGTAAAAATACAACATATTTAAAAATATATGCTATGTGTAACACAACTACAAAGGACAAAAAAGGGGAAGAATTTTTCGACACACTAAATGACCCACACACACACACAAAAAAGATCAGATAAACAAGAATGGTTGCAGGAAATTACTGAGCACTGATAAAACTAATATACATTTGACAACCCAGAGAAGTATGGGAAAATCTATAATCCCATTCATACAACAAAATTCAAACACAGGCCCTTGCTTATGATTGAAAAATATTCCACCAGATGTCAAGGTTACAACCTACATCTACTGTCCATCGGGTGGCTGAAGGCTAAACTTGTGGACTTAAAACACCAGCACCGCATAATTCCATCTAAACAAACATGTCCTCAGACCCCGAATATATTACAGAACTAAAGGCACTAAAGGCCAACAAACACCTAATATTTCTGAAACGTAGTTAGAAGCCTGTTTAACCGGGCCAGAGAGATTTGCACCAAAGACTGCAGAAATTGAAGCTTTAACAATTAAAATCAACTACCCCCTCCTTTGTGAGCAGACAGAATTTATAGTAAATCTGAAATTACCCTGGTAAGTCACGTCACTAGGATGTGTAGAAAGACACTATTCGCATTTCAGTTGGGTTTATTCGATTTTGTGCTTCATTTTATGTTAATGTAACTCTGAAGTAATGCACCTGAGAATGTTGAATGTTGTTGAATGTTGAATAAGGAATTGACATCACAGCACTCAGGACACTCCCATAAGCGCTCCGTCCCCATCTTCAGTGAATTCAGTTATTTAAGCGCTGATGCCACTATTGGATATCTCACTAAAAAGGGCAGAGCTTTTCAGATTTTTTGTTGAAAGTGTAAGTACTCAAAGTAACTGAGGAGCAGCTTTGTAAATCTTTCTCCGAGACATTGATTTTATTTGATTCAAGAACCGACATCACAGCACTGGGGGTATTCCCATAAGCGCTCCATACCCATCTTCAGCAGCCAGCGAAGAGTTCCGATACTTATAGTGCCAGTAGAATTCTGATTACACATCCGTCTTGCCTTTCCTCTGAGCCTCGAGCATCTGCCAGAACCTCTCGTCACTCCCCGCTGCATCAATCTCACCAGACTGTGGTGATCCATCTGCTCCTCCGAACTGTACACGCTCTCCCCCGAGGCACTAATCCCATCTGCCTTATCATGTATCAGTATTCCACTAAGTTGTGCAGAACCAACTTGTCTGTCTGCCTGTTCATTTCCCGACATACCGGCGTGCCCCGATGAAAAAATCCAGACCATACTCCTCACCCGTGTCCTCCACAGTGAAGCATGTTACTCTGCACGAAGCATGCCTGTCCTGATCTTCCTCCACATGCTGAGTCAGTTACAATCAAGATGTGTGTCGTGTTCTCTAGCCAGCGGAAAGCTACAGTGACCACCTCCACCTCCATTCTTAAGCTGAATGTTGTGGTATCATATGCTAGGCTCTCCTGCACCAAACATCGACCATTAACTTTTGCTAAGAAGCCCCAAGCACTTCTTTTCCCTGAATTGTCTGTGTAAATGATATAATCCTCTGAGCGAGCATTATCTTGAATTCATTGCTGAATTTCCATCTCAGTGGCACCTGCTGGCCAGTCTCTGCATTTCCGGCTCAGTGTGATTATGACCCTACACAAGTCTGACTGTTCAGGTGGCACTTTGACCCACTCCTCTCCTCGCCTAATGTTCTCAAGGATGCAAACCTGTCTGATTGTGTCTTTTGCCTGAGTCTCTCTCTCTCTCTAGAGACAATGGCACCAAGATGTTACATACAACTGCCTTGCTTATAGAATGCAATGCAGAATAACTCAGTTCATAGTTTCTTTATTAATTTAGATGTAAAGTCACTGAGCGGAAGCTCTGTCCATATTGCAGGGTATGAAAGGCAAACATGCCTTCACTAGCACAAATCTTATCATTTTGCCTTTTTACACACAAATAAGAAAACGCTATACTGATGGATCTAAATTTTGATCTGCAAACAATAAAATATGAGGGGAAGTCAATAAGTAAGTCACAAATGGTTATGGGATCACAGGAAAATGTAGTTGATGGTTTCTAAAGGTGTTATTAGGTGACAGCAACATCAAACTTTATATCTCTGTTCATTAGGTGACGCTATGTGTTGCAGGTGCACACTATGTGTTGCATGCGCATGCACACCATAGAAACAAAATGGTGACTTTACTTACGGAGTGTACCCTCAAAGAACAACATGCTGCCTGCAAAGGACATTCATAAGGAAATGCTTCCTGCTTATGCTGACAAATGTTTATCCCGTAAAGCGGATCATAGCTGGGTAAAGAATTTTTTTCAAGGACTCTTTTACAATTGTTGATGAAGTCCGATCTGGTCGTCCAGTTGAGACTGCAATAGATGCATCCATGCAGCGAATGTAGGAGATAATTAGAGGTGACAGTAATGGTTGACTCTGTAGCAGCTGCAAGAAGGTACTCACATGGTTTTTGGTCCACTGAAAACTTACTTTCGCAAGAGATTAAACGAATGACGCAGAAGTTGAATGTGAAGCAAAAATGTGGTTTCGAAAACATAGCACGCAGTTCTATGCAGCAGGTTTAGGAGCACTGATAAAATGATTGGACAAGTGCATCAATGTTGGTGAAAATTATGTTGAAAAATAAAGGGACAGTGTTCGTGAAAAAATAAATGGTTTTCAAATTGTTATCGAATTTAGTTTTTTTAAAACCATTTGTGACTTACTTACTGACTTAGAATAATGCAGACTAAACTGTATTTAACCTAATCTGACCGAGAAACTCCCCAGAAGAATCACTACCAGCTTGTTATATTGGCTTGTTTATGATACATACAGCATTTAGAAGGGGAGGGACCGGTTACAATTACTATAAATAGCATCTGGTGAATATTCATGCTTTTAAAATATAAATTATGATATAATATTTTCCCAATTTGTCAATAAAAAGCATAACCAAAACAATAAAATCTAATAAGGTATACAGATATAAGTGCATGTGCTATTCTGGACCTTACTCCTAGATTTATATAAAATGGGAAAATGAGAATTTTTTTCTTTTGGCGGGGGGGGGGGGGGGGGGGGGGGGGGGTACTATCAGTCAGGACGACCTGGACATGCACACAGTAGGGACTGTCCCCGCAAAAACGGGACTCATGGTCACCCTAACTATACTTTATCTGTACTTACCCAGCTACTGTTTCTCTGTTTTAGGCATACTCCCTCATGAATTAAACATACCGCTGTCATCTGTAAAAGTAAATGAATACATGCGCATATAGAATTAAATAAATTTATTTAAATATTATACATTTGCTTTAACAAAAAGGATTTTAACAATTCAACATCATATTCATCCTCACAGTCAGACATCAGTATTCGCATATCCATTCTCTGACTTTAACATTTTACCATTTTAAATAGACATCAGACATCCCATCCCAGCTTTATCTCCAATCTTTTCCACACAAGTTCTGAAACAGGAATATTGACTGATGCATGAGATAAAAACGGATCCTTATTAAATCAAGTGTTTCCAAATCACCTCTTCAAGTCTGAAGGAGAATTAATGTTCACCCTTGGTTTTACGCTGCATAAGTAGTGACGCAACATTCATAAGTTAAACATAATGGCAAGCTACTTGTCATCAGCATTACAATGCTGAATGGTGCCTGTTTGGATGACATGCTTTGATTCTTGTCTTTGCGATTATTAAATCAGTCTCATTAATTGTTAAACTGTGTGTGTGTGCGTGCGCGCGTGTGCTCTGTGTGTGTGTGTGTGGGTGGCAGTGTGTGTGTGGAAACAGGAAAGGGGGAAGGAGGAGCCACAATAAAAATGTGCATAGTGCATGTGTTTACTAAGGTTTGATTCCTGTCAGCGAGAGTATTTCTTGTTCCAACTACTAACTCTTGTGCCAGCCAAAAACAGTAAAATGATCATTACTAATCTGCATAAATTCTTTGGGAATGACACTCTAGGACGGGGAGGGGGAGTTTGTTACATTACTGACACATGCCGCTGACATGCATGCATACTATACAAGTTTACTTGGCCTATCCAGCTTGTACAATTGCCAAGTACCTAAGACTAAGAGAATTGTTTTAAAATGGCAGTACTCCACATGCATGCACGCATGCACACACACACAGAGGATTTCCTCTGATGATAAAACATGACTGCCATCTCTCACTGGCACAGAACATGCTGATGGTAATTGTTGCTGGAATAATGGGTTGATGGTGATTATTACTGGAGTAATGGAAGGCCAACCACACCAGGCCTAAGTACACGTAACATCGTAACTTCTTCACTGTCCAAGAATGCTGTAATACAATACACTACCCCAAGTATGCTGTGGCAGTGCAGTGCATTCAGTCTTTATTATGGATGGAAACATTGCTACAATGATGAACTGGTCATTGATGAACAGCTGTCAAGTCTACCACTACCTGCCAAATACACTTTCTGCAAGAGCATGAGAATGGAAACATAAAAAGGCAGAGGAAGGTCAAGAAGACGACGGGTAGGTGAGATTAATAACTTACGGAAACTCTACATCACCATGGAGCAAGCTAACGAGTGCACACTATCCCAGAAACTGACCATTGGCTGTGCCTGCGATGCCTAACAGCAAAAAGCAGAGAAAGGAAACAGATTCTGGACACAGACATATTATTTCCGGTATT